TCTGAGAACTTTGAAGTAGTGTTTGAAAGAACTGTAATTCCACTCACTCCACCTTGTTTTGTTCTAGTCATTTAACAAGTTCTATAGGTGACAGGGCATCACTTATGCTAACTTTGAAAGCATTTTTATACATATGATTAATATACCTTCTTTTTTTTAAGACCAGGCACAGTAACAAACCATCTGTGTAGTTACAGTGCTATAGGCTGAGAAAAGCATGGTTTTCTTGAAGCAGCAAATCACCTAGGACCGAATAATAAACTATGAAGCTAGTGAGCTACAAAGTATGGTATTTAAATGATACCCAGGCTGGATGGCTCTGAATGCAGTTGCTTCTAAAGGCCTTTCTTTTTTCCTTTGAGTACAAAATTATTCTTCTTCACGTTACTCCCTCGCGGCAGGTCCTGCTCGTTGCGCTCGAGTGTCAGGAACCTGGCCGCGCCTCCCACCGTTCCGTACGGAAAAATGGCATCTCCTGAGAGGAACGGGCAGCTCCTGCGTCTGGGCCGCAGCCTGTCGTGTTCCTTCAGCAGGCACGGGGCCGCGACTCCCGCCTTTCCGTACAGTAAAATGGCGCCGCCCAGCGTGGAGCGAGCACCGCCTAGTTCGCAGCGGCCGCCTCCTTTCCGACGCTGAGAAGCGGCCGCTCAGGCCCACCAGAGCCAGGAGAGGCGGACTGCCGGCAGCGCGACGCGCGATGAAGACTCGGAGGGACGGAGGCTGAATCGCCCTTGCTGCCGCACTTCGCTAACCGCACCCGCCGAGGGGCCGGCCATCGCCGGAGTCACAGCTGGAGCTACAGGAGGAAGAACGCTGGCTCCGCGGCAGGTGAGAGGGGCAGGCGGTTCTGCAGCACCCTCGCGGAAAGGGCGAGGTCAGAAAAAAACAGGCGCGTGTTCGGCTTTTCCAGACTAATCCCGCCTGGGTGAAGTCGGGGTGGAGGAGAGGAAGAGGCAGGGACGACGGGCGGGTTGAAGCTTAGGACAGCCTTTGTCCCACCTCTCGAGGCCGTCCGTTAGGCGCGCCCGGCCCCTTTGCTTGCTTTGGGCCCTGCCACTCCCACATCAGCCCAAACAGTTGTTTACAACGGAATCCGAACTCTGGGATGAGTGACACCAAGTCCAAAGGAAGTGATTCCCGGCGTTGGTGGGCAGAACCCCTTTCCTTTGCTGAAAGGCCCTTTCTTCTGAGGAGGCCCTTGGGGTCCAGCTAAGGCCCGGCGTGCAACTCAGAAGACATCTACATGGCAAGTGTGAGGATCCTCCTACCCTCGGTTTCCTTTTTAGGCACAGTATGGGTTGGTGTTGAATGAGCACGCCCTGTAAGCAATTTGAAATGGTGCCACGCAGAATCCTATAGCCCTGTAGTTGTAGTTAACGTTTGTGCAAAGCCTGTTATGTACCAGTTTCTGTTATGCACCTCTTTCATTTGGTCTTTCCCATGTGGAGAAGGTAGGTAGCTGGTTTTACAGATGAGAAAATGAAAGTTACACAGCTAGTAGGGAGCCAGTAGTGGGAGCCAGATATGTCTGAGACCAATGCCCATCCTCCCAAATACACTGACATCATAGGGATGACACAGGAATTCATCTCTATCAACAAATAATGGGTATCTGTTTGGGGCATGCACTTATGGAACATTATGTAGGGAATATGGTTGATCCTGTCCCTTAAGAAGTTCTAAATCTAGGTGGAGAGTTAAAAAGGGAAAAGAAGAACAACAAACTAGCAAACTAGGGGTTTTATGATCTGGTCCCCAACCCAGCTTCCCAACTTCATCACATACCATTTACCCTCAGTTTACTCATTTCCTGTGCCTTTGAGCTCATGTTCTCTAGGGGATGCCCCTTTCTTTTCACCTCCTCAGACATTTTAAAATTGAGTGAAATCCTACTTCTGCCTTCAAGAACCAGCTCAGGTATCACCTTTTATGGGAAGCTTTTCCCAACTTCCTCCCAGGAAGAGTTAGTTTCTCCCTCAGCTGTATTCATTCAGTAATTTCATAATGCCACTAAGGCTTAAGTTACATTATATCTACTTGTAAATGTGCCTGCTTCCCCTTCTAAACACTGTCTTTTCATCTTTCTGTCCCTATTTAAATAACCATATTTTGCATTGAATTTAAGGCAGTGATAAATGTCAGATGTCTAGTAACCAGCCCTAGAGCAATTCACAGAAAAGAGCAAACACTGATGAGGATGGGGAAGTGTCTTGGGAGAAGTTGGAACATGAGCGGAATCTTGATGGGGTTAATTTACTAAGCTGTGAATCGGAGACCCGGAAATGTCTGCCTTTCCTCGCCTTGCACGGGAGGCATTACTTCATTCTTAGAATGTGGAGGGGGTAAAATTAGAAAAGTTTTTGTTTTTCCTTTTTCATAGAATATGCTAGTAATGTTATCTTCTGGATTTTGGAGCATTTCCAGAGGCTAATAGGATTTAGGACAGAGAGGAGATGAAGATGTGTGGAGGAGGTTGTTGGAAGGTATTGTTTTTAAAGAGGGACTAGAAAGGTGAAATACATTGAAGCATCTTTCATATTAATAACGTGGTCTGAAATTTAAGTTCTAATAATTTCATTCTATTTAATGAGTGAGATTTCAGATAATTATCTCAATGATTCTTCTCTGACTGATGGGCGGAAGAGAATCTGCCAAACCCCCTTAAAGCAGTTTACATTTCTTTTGATCTCTTGATTATTTTCCAGGTATGTAATAAAGCTGAATTAGTGTTTATGAAAATGTTTTGTAATCTTTGAGTGATAGTACAAATGCTAATTATTTTCAGTATTGTAAACTCAGGAACATTTCATCTTTCTTCCGCCTTAATTAGAAACACCCTGTTGTAGTTGTTAGTTGCTGTCAAGTAGGTTTCAACTCATAGCTCCACTTATACAACAGAATGAAACACTGCCCGGTCATAAACCATCTTTACAAACCTTACTATACTTGAGCCGATTGTTGGAGCCACTGTGCCAATCTGTCTTGTTGAGGGTCTTCCTCTTTTTCGCTGACCCTGTACTTCACCAAACATGACATCCTTCTCCAGGGACTGGTCCCTATTGATAACATGACCAAAGTGTGAGAGATGAAGTCTGGCCATTCTTGCTTCTAAGGAGTCCAGCCGCACTTCTTTGAAGACAGATTTGTTTTGTTATTAAGGCAGTCCTTGGTATTTTCAGTGTTCTTCGACAACACCACAATTCAAATGCATCATTTCTTCTGTGGTCTTCATTATTCATTGTCCAGCTTTCACATGCATATGAGGCTATTGAAAATACTGTGGTTTGGGTGAGGCACACCTTAGTCTTCAAAGAGACATATTTGCTCTTTAAAATGTTAAAGAGGTCTTTGGCAGCAGATTTGCCCAGTGCAATGCATCTTCTGATTTCTGGACTGGTGCTTCCATGGGGAACGATTGTGGATCCAAGTAAAATGAAATCCTTGACAACTTCAGTCTTTTCTCCATGTGATAGTGCTTATTGGTGTAGTTGTGAGGAAACACCTTGTTGTGGTAGATTGCCCAACTTTCCTTCCCAGAAGTGGCTAGTGGGTTTGAACTGCCAGCCTTCTGGTTAGCAGTCAAGTGCCTTAGGAACTATGCTACCAGAGCTCCTAGGAAACACCTTAGATATAAAGAAACCTAGGAGGAAAAAACTGAGAAATTTTTACAGTAAATAAGAGAGGCTACTATTCCAGGCCTTTATTAACTGGCCCATACCAAAGTGTCAAGTGTTATTACTATTCTAATCAGCAACTGGAGTCCCTGGGTGGTACATTTGATTAATATGCTCAGCTACTATGTGATAGGTTGGAGATTCAAGTCCACCCTGAGTCCACCTGGGAAGAAAGACCAGCAATCTACTTCAGAAAAAGCAGCTATTGAAAACCCCATGGAGCAAAATTCTGCTCCAACACACATGGGATAACCATGAACCAGAATTAACTGGAGGCCAGCTGCTATCATCAACTATTAAAAAAAAAAAAAAAAAAGAATTATCCAACCACAGACATTATGGTTGTTTGCAACTTCCTGTTTTACTCAGTGTATTTTCTTGCTGACTAGCATGGAAGTAATAAAAACATCTGGCCCATACATTGGTCTTAAATGCTTCATAAGATTCTATGCCTGTCTGTCATGCCCAGGTATCTTATCCACATGATAGGATGAGGAAACCAACTCCTCAGCATAGTACATTCACTTGAATGCCTGATGAAAGGCATTATTTCCAAGGAGTTTTCCCAGCAGCTCTCAGGAATGAGAGGAGCTCTGGTGATGCTGCGGTTGAAGCATTGGGCTGCTAACCAAAAGATTGGTGGTTCAAACCTACCAAGTGCTCCGTGGGAGATGAGAGTCTGCTTCCATAAAGCTTACAGCCTTGGAAACTCTGTTGGGTAGTTCTGCTCTGTCCTGTAGGGTTGCTCTGAGTCAGAATCATCTCGATGGCAGTAGATTTTTTGCATGAATGAATGTAAAACATTAAGATTAAATCATTCTCTTTGATTAAAATAGAAGCAGGCAGTTTACAGTGTCGTAACAGTTGAAGATCCTGGGTTCTTCTGACATCAGGACTCAGGAGTGGGACAAGAGCATTCAGACTTGCTTTCTCTATCTGAGGTACATGTCCGTAAATTTATAAATTCAAGTGTCATTTAGTACCTGTTTAATCACTGAAGTGCAGTATCATAGCTAGATAAGATCTTAGCAAGACCATTTATTTTATGTTGTTGTTGTTGTTTGCCGTCGAGTCAAACCCGACTCATAGTGACCCCTCCTTGGGTTTCCGAGGCAGTATCACTACGGAAGTAGGATTTGCCCAGCCTTCCTTCCGAGGAGTGGCTGGTGGTTTTGAACTGCCAGCCGTCTGGTTAGCAGGCGAGTGTCTTAGCCATTATGCTACCATGAAAAACTGAAACCCAAAGAGATTAAATGAGATACCCTCAGTCATACTGCTAGTTAGTGAAAGAGAACACTTCTGGTTCATTTCTTTTTTTCTTTCCTAGGAAGGTGAATAAACTTAATTGAGAATGTCTGAAAACCTTGACAAATCTAACACAAATGAAGCAGGAAAGTCACATGATTCCGAGCAAGGCCTTGAAGATGCCGTGGAAGGTTCTGAAGAAACTTTACAGAAAATACTAAAGCCGGGCTCTCCTAGCCCCCAGAGTATACAAAGACCTCACTGTAAGCAAATTTCACTTTGGTTAGAGGAAACATTATCACTATTTTCAAAAAATATTTGTACTAGGATTCCTTGTTCTTGTGGCCCTGAGCTAGGTTCTAATAATATGATAATATTGACAATAATTAGCATTTAAAATATCAACAGTTTGTCAGCTGACAGCCTAGTCACTTCTGGGTTTTAAGTTACATGAGGAGTTAAAATTCAGGATAATGTCCAGAATGTTCCTGTCCTTTTCCTTCAGTGACATTCTGGTTTTTCTGAAGTGTGCTGAGAAACTGAAGGGTGGAGTGCAAATTAAAGCTTTAATTAAAAGAGTGTTTGAAAAATCTGAGGCTGATTCCAGCCAGGACTATGCTTGTATAGGTGAAAAAAAAAATGGTTTTTGAATGTGAGTGTGTTCACCACACCTTAACTTCACTGCCTGAGGGCTTAGTTCCCAGAGGTTGAGGGGATTCAATTTGCTGAATGTGTTTGGTGATGTCATTTCAGAGCCCTGGCAGGGAGCAAGTCTAGTAGATGAAAGGATGGCAATTTCAACGCGTCTTCTCAGCAGTTGCACCAACTCATATCTTTTATTAAGGATACTTAAGCCTTTTGAAATGAGTCCAAAAATGAAAGTTTTAAGAGGGAGTGTCATAGTCTAAGAATGTTAGTCTTGATATTATCTCTTTAAAGTGTAGATGATCAGAAATCTACATATTTGGAAGAAGTACAGACATTTTTGGGTTTTGAGGTATATTTCTTCTAAAATGATTAAAGCCCTTCCCTGGTAATTTATTAACCAACATAGCATTCTTTTAGCAAACATTAGTGGACCCCATTTTATCATGCTTTATTATCACATAGATTTTGATAAATACACTGCTAGGTCAGATTGTATCTGTGGAAACATGCTGTTAATAATAACATAGTTTATACTGTACATGTTAGGCCTTGTCTCTAATATATGTACTTAGTTTCTACTTTCTCATCTTTAAAATGAAGAAAATTTGTTTGCCAGTCTCTCAAAGGGCATGGTTAACTTAATGGGGTTTCTGTTTTCTTTCACATGACATCGGTGCACAGATGCTGTAACAATTTAGTAATAGCTTTAGCTTTATATTGCATAGTAAAATAAACTGCACGGTAAAAATGTTTGTAATCTTACTGTTTTTTATGACTCTTAATACAACTCAATTTCTCCTCAAAAGTTGAGGTGAAGTTTGTGCCATATCCATTAGGTTGCGTTGCTGTGTTGTTAGTTGATGTTGAGTCAATTCCAACTCATGGCAACACCACGTATGATAGAATAGAAGTGATCCCTAGGACTTTGGCTGTAACAGAAGCAGATCACCAGGCCTTTTCTTCTGTGGTACCATTGGATGGGTTTAAACCACCAACCTTCAGGTTTTCCAGTTGAGCACAAACCATTTGTGCCACCTAGGGACCTTTGTGGGAGCTCTGGTAGCATAGTGGCTAAGACACTTGCCTGCTAACCAGATGGCTGGTGGTTCAAACCCACCAGCCACTCCTCGGAAGGAAGGTTGGGCAATCCTACTTCCGTAGTGATACTGCCTCGGAAACCCAAGGAGGGGTCGCTATGAGTCGGGGCCGACTCGACGGCACATAACAACAACAACAACAACAACAGGGACCTTTGTATCACTATGTTGCTGTTAGGTGCTCTCTTGTCGATTTCACCTCATAGTGACCCCACATGACAGAGTAGAACTTCCATAGGGTTTTCTAGGCTGTAATCTTTACTGGAGCAGATCACAAGTCTTTATCCGCAGAGCTGCTTCGTGAGTTCAAATCTCCTACATTTTGGTTAGCAGCCAAATGCGTAACCATAGTGCCACCGGGGCTTTTATTTGCATCACTATAGGTTTTCATTTATGAAATTTGTAAATTTGACGACTCGCAAAACAAAACACACCACCAACCCTCTAATTAGTATGCAATGAGTAAATCCTGTGTATGTAGATCTATAGCATACCCTAAGAGCTCTGGTAGCATAGTGTCTAAGGCACTTGACTGCTAACCAGAAGGCTGGCAGTTCAAACCCACCAGCCACTCCTCAGAAGGAAGGTTGGACAATCTACTTCTGTAGTGATACTGCCTCGGAAACCCAAGGAGGGGTCACTATGAGTGGGATCCGACTCAACAGCACATAACAACAACAACAACATAGCATACCCTGGTCTTAGAATTGTGGTTTCTGTTTGATCAGTTACCCTCCATTAAAAAGTCTGATATTAGGTAATCTGCAACTTGAACTGCTCCTAAAAACTTTCTTCTTTCTGATTATCTGATGTTCTTACCACTTAGTACAAGTATGTGCCCCAAACACTGGCTTGCCAGGAATGTAGCGGATCTCATCAGAAGGAAGCCTGGTGGTGCAGTGGTTAAGCACCAGGCTGGAAGATTGGCAGTGTGAACTCACCAGCTGCTCTGTGGGGGAAACGTGTGGCAATCTGCTTCCATACAGCCTTCGAAGCCTTATGGAGCAGTTCTACTTTGTCCTGGAGGGTCACTATGAGTCAGAATCGACCCAATGGCATTGAGTTTGGTTTTTGGGTTATCTTTTATAGAACATTCTTCAGTCTCATTATCTTATTTTTGCATATGGAGAAATAGTGGCTTTGGGAGATTTAAGTGACTTGGCCAAGGTTGTGCTTAGCAGAGTCTGCCATGGAGTTGATTCTGACTCATAACGACCCCCATGGGGTTTCTGAGGCAGTAAATCTTTATGGAAGTAGATTGCCCCATCTTCCTTTCTTGGGGTGGGTGGTGGGTTTGAACCACCAGCCTTCTGGTTAGCAGTCAAATGCTTTAGGACTATGCCATCAGAGCTCCTTTAACAGAGTCTAGAAGAAGCCAAATTTCTTCCTGATCTGCTGTGTCTACTGTTTCCTGACTACGCCACATACAGGCAGTGTCTGTTATCACCAAAATGCCTAACATTTAAAAAAAAAAAAAAAAAATTATTGAGAACTGAGTATATTTATATTATTTTTATTTTCATAAATCTAAGATGATAAGAAATCATATTGTTTTTACAAAACCAAATTTAAAACAAAATTTTGAAGCCCTGGTGACAATCTCTCATTTTTTTAAAAAAGAGATAAGAACTTGATGGAGTTTAATATCTCCCAGTGCTTGATATACCTACAGTGGAAATGGTAACAGAATATACTAGTTTGAAGAAATTTAGTGATCAGTACATGTATATACTAGACCTCTATTGAATATTTTGTTGTTATTGTTAAGTGGTGCTGAGTCAGGTCCAAGTCATAGCCACCCTGTACACAGCAGAACAAAACAGTGTCTGGTCCTGCACTGTCTTCACAATCACTGCTGTGTCTGAGCTCGTTACTGCAGCCACTGTGTCAATCCATCTCGGTGGTGGTCGTCCTCTTTTTTGCTGGCTCTCTCTGCTTTACCAGGCATAAGGGACCCAAGTCTTTAGGGACTGTTCCCTCCTGATAACATGAGTGAAGTATGTGAGACAAAGTGTTGCATCCTCACTTCCAAGGAGTGTTAATCAACTTTATACATATAATTCATATGTAACAAAATTCACCAGTTTTAAGTATACAACTTGGTGAGTTTTAACAAATACTTTTACAGTTGTGTAACTACCACCACAGTCATGAACTGGAACATTTCCATCACCCCCGAAATTCCCATGTGCCACTTGGCAGTCAATCTTTTCCCCCATCTCAAGCCTTTAGCAGCTACTGATCTGCTTTCTGTCGCTACAGTTTTGCCTTTTGAATAATTTCATATAGATGGATTTATACTGTATATGGTCTTTGTGTCTAGCTTTCACATGGGATGATGCTTTTGAAATTCATCCACGAGTTTACATTTACTAGTCACTGGCCATTTGTATATCTTCTTTGGAGAAATGACTGTTTGAATCATTCCCCGTTTTTTATATTGGGTAACTTGTCTTCTGTTATTGGTTTGTGAGAGTTCCTTATATTCTGGATACCAGCCCTTCATCAGATACATGTTTTGCAAATACTTTCATCTGTGGCTTTCCTTTGCATTTTCTTACTAGGCTTTAAACTTTTTAAGAAATCTTTGCCTAACTAAAGTTACAAAGATTTTCATCTGTGTTTCTTCTGAAAGGTACAGTTTTAGCTTTTACACTTATGTTTACAATCCATTTTGAATTAATTTTTGTTTATCATGTGAGGTGAAAGTTAAAGGTCAGTCTGGGTAGATTTTTAGATTCTCTGTGTCAGATGATGTGTCCTCATGCCAAAAACACATTGTTTTACTGTAGCATTACTTAAAGTCTTGCAACTGTGTTCTTTTTCAAAATTGTTTTGGCTCTTCTAGTTTCTTTGCATTTCCATATGAATTTTAGAATCAGTTTGTCAATTTTAACAAAAAAAAACCTGATAGGATTTTGATTGGGATTGCATTTAATCTATAGATCAACATGGAAAATTGACATCTTAACATTGTTGAAATTGAAAAAAATATATTTGGGCTTTGATTTTGGATATTATCTTTTGCCATTATTTGTGAAACAAGTTTTATTTATTTTGTGTTCTTATTAATATTCTCTAAAAATTTTGTGAAGAGGAATTTTTATGTTTTCCCAACGTCCTCTTAAGTGACCAAATAAAGACTTACCAGAGTATGACCAACTCTTAGATTTGGTTCTTTTTTTTTTTCCTTTTTGGTGAGCAAAAAAGCCAAAGAACAAACTCACTACTATCAAATTGATTGAGACTTATAGCGACCCCTTCTTGGGTTTCCGAGGCAATATCTCTACAGAAGTAGATTGCTCAATCTTCCAAGGAGTGGCTGGTGGGTTTGAACCTCCAGCCTTCTGGTTAGCAGTCAAATGCCTTAGGCACTGTGCTACCAGAACTCCCTTCTGAACAAAAGGAAAGGATAAAAGAAGGAAAATAACTTTTCACTGATACAAGAAGATCCACTTATCTTTATAACTATTAAAGCCCTGTGCAAACCAGAGTGACATTACTTATCTCATTTTATACCTAGATCTTATCATCATCACTTAAAATTAGTGCAGTCATCTAATTGACTTGTACTTCTCGAAACATGGTTTCTGGGACCAACAGCGTCAACATCAGCTGGAGACTTGGCAGAAATGCAAATTCGTGGCCCTGCCCCAGACCAGCTTAATCAGAAACCCTGAAAATGGCACCCAGCAATCTGTTTTATGAAGCCCTCCCTGATTTTGATGCAGGCTAAAGTTTGGTGTTTTCAGTTACCTCTTATGCATGTGAGAGCTGGATAATGAATAAAGAAGACTGCAGAAGAATTGATGCATTTGAGTTGTGGTGTTGGCGAAGAGTATTGAATGTACCATGGGCTGCTAGAAGAACAAAGAAACCTTTCTTAGAGGAAGTATAGCCACAATGTTCTTTAGAAACGAGGATGGCCAGACGTTGTCTCTCGTGCTTTGGTCATGTTGCCAGAAGGGACCAGTCCCTGCAGAAGGATGTGATGCTTGGTAAAGTAGAGGGTCAGTGAAAAAGGGGAAGACCCTGAACAAGATGGATTGACACAGTGGCTCCAGTGATGGGCTCAAGCATGGCAATGATTGTGAGGAGGTGTAGGATGGGGCAGTGTTTTGTTCTATTGTACTTAGACTCACTATGAATTGGAACTTACTTGACACCACCGAACAACAACAAGTCATAGAACAGTGTTAGTGATGGTACAAAATATAAATGCTGATGGGGACAAAAGAAAAAATATTCAATCTTTTGTCTCCTTTTTTTAATTTTAGGGTAGACTGGAGGCAAAGGAATTAGCATATAAACTCACCTTATTGGGAAATTGATAATCTGCAATTAAAAAAAAAATTCAAGCCCTAATTTCCTGTATTTATTTTCCATTGACTCATCTCATTAATGTTTCATTAAACCAAAAAACCATAAACTCACTGCTGTCGATTCAGATCTGACTCATAGTGACCCCTCCTTGGGTTTTTGAGGGGGTATCATTACAGAAGTAGATTGCTCAACCTTCCTTCTGAGGAGTGGCTGGTGGGTTTGAACCACCAGCCTTCTGGTTAGCAGTCAAATGCCTTAGGCACTGTGCTGCCAGAACTCCCCACTACTCATAAAACATAACTTAGTAATTGGTCATGTTATCAGAAGGGAGTAGTCCCCGGAGAAGGAAATTATGCTTGATCAAGTAGAGGGTCAGCGAGAAAGAGGAAGACCCTCAACAAGATGGGTTGACACAATGGCTGCAGTGATAGGCTCAAGCATAGTAAATATTGTGAGGATGGCACAGGACCAGGCAGTGTCTTGTTCTGTTGTACGTAGGATTGCTATAAGTCAAAGCCAACTTGACGGCACCTAACGATAGTCTTAGTAAAAACCAGATGTTTTGAGTATTGTAAATAAACTTCTGCTTTTAAGATTCTACATTAAAAGAAAACATGAGTATGAAATAGGTAAATGCTATTTGAAATTGCCAGAACATTTTAATAAACAGAGATTCAACTGAAATTATTGGCTGGTACCAGAATCAGTCTATTTTGATAGAAATTCTAATATAGAGAAGCAAATATCTTACGCTGGGTTTTGTTACAGCTAGTCCTCCTCGATTTGTGACGGTAGAAGAACTCCTGGAGACAGCAAAAGGAGTCACGAACATGGCTCTAGCTCATGAAATCGTGGTAAATGGAGACTTCCGGATTAAACCCATTGAATTACCAGAAGACAGGTAAAGTGGTTAACGGAGTTGTCTTATTTAATAGAAGAACGCTGCTATTTCCCATTCTGGAGATCCTTCAGTTAGTGCCAATATATTCAAATATATTTTTCCTTTTGAACATTATTTCTAAAACTATTCCTATATGGTACTAGGAATTACTAGATTGTGAAGGTAGATTTCGGGCCACCACTTGGAAGGGAGACTGGGCAATCTACTTCCGTAGAGATACTGCCTCAGAAACCCAAGGAGAGGTCGCTATGAGTCAGATCTGACTCGATGGCAGTGAGTTTGGTTTTTGGTTTTGCTCCTCAGAGTACAGATAAAAAGTCTAGAAATCTCCTATGGAAAATTCTAAAACTTCTTCTTGCCTCATTTTGTGTTTTCTTGCATCATTTCATACATTTTCTTTGTAACTGTCACATTTTACTGTAGTTGTTGGTTTAAGTGCCATCTTCACCAGAATGTAAACTCCATGAAGGCAAAGAGTGCATTATGCTTTTGATCCCTAGTGTCTGGTACACATTTCATTGTATCTAAAAGTCTTATTGATTATAATGGGCCATCTTTTTAAAATGTATTATCACAAAGAAAAAAAAACACTGCCCCTTATAATTGTGACAGTGCCATCAATTTTTTTTTTTTAATTTTTATTGTGATTTGAGTAAAAGTTACAGAGCAAATTCATTTTCCATGCAGCAGTTCATATACATTTTGTCTCATGACATTGCCTGCAGTTTCCCACAATTCTTCCCACTTCCTCCCTATAGTTACCTCTTCCCTGTGTCCTTCCCTCTGTGCACTCCTGCCCCCTGAGCCATCTCCCTGTGCATACATAGCCCTTCTATTCTCCCATGATTGATCTCTCCAAGGAGTGTATCTACCTGATGTAAATATTCAGCCCATATAAAAATGGCATTAATTTGAAGATGTACATTTGAGAGATATTAAAATGTATGTGTGTGGGCAGTTTATTTTAGAAACAGTGAAAAACGGTGTAGATACCCTTTCAGCAGTTTACTGGTGGCAAGACTCTGAATTGGTACATCTGTGATTTGCCTGTCCTTTTCCTCATGTTTGCAGAATGGCTGCTGTGTCTTTGAACATCCCATCATACACCAGCGTTCCAGGCAAGAGAGAGAAGGGAGGATGGACAGAGCTTTCCTTTTATTAGGGAGGAATATCTTTCCCAGAAGTTACCTAACAGACGTCTGATTTTTTTTTTTTAGAACTTGGTCACTTGCTATCCCAGCTATAAAGATTCAAGTCTGGGAAAGCTTGAGTCTGGCAAAGGGGAACAGAACTACTGTGATGGGCTTAGCTTAATCATGATTTGTTCTCAGAAGCAGGGCATATCACTACCCTGAAAAGCACTGGGGTTCTGTGAGCAAAGAGAAAGGTGGAGTGGCTGCTGGGTTTGCAAACTATAGTAGCTCCCTGAATGGGCTTCAGAATATGACTACAGCCATTTCTTATATGTCCTGTAAGCTTAGTACTTGCTTTTGAGCATTAACAATAAAGATTTACTTGTCTGTTGTCATTACAAAAAGATTGGTTTTAATGGGATGTTGTATATAAGTTATAGTTTGGTACCTGATTAAGCAGTCATCCCAAATATCACACCGAATAGGATATTTTTAAGAAATAAAGTGCTTTAACCTATATATATGCTACGTTGTTACTTCAAACACTTAGGAAACTTGCTGGTATCAGGGGACTGAAAAACCATTCTGAATTTCTAGTGTTCTTTTTATCATGACACAGTTATATACTGCTATTGGGACTAATGGCTTCTCTCAAATTAGTTGAAAGTTATTTTTTTTTCCCCAAGGAGGTAACTCTTGAGGGGAAAAAGAAAAGAAAAAACAAAACTAAAGATAAAGTATACCATTAATTTAAGTATGCATGAGAAATCTTCTTGATGCAAATTATTTTAAAAGTATCTCTTATAGGGACGGATAGATGGGTGAACAAGCTAAACAATTATGTATGTCTAAATGGAGAGTGTATCCAAGATCATATACAGGGTTGGCAGACAATGGGCCTCTCGAAGAGTATGAAGGGATGGACACTGGGAAGAGGTAACTATGGGGAGGAAGTGGGAGGGGAGCTGCTGCATTGTAAATTTTGGTCAATGACATGAGACAAAGTATATGTGAACTGCTGTATGAAAAGTGAATTTATTCTGTAAATCTTCACCCAAATCCTAATATAAAAAAAAAAAAGTATCTCACCCTTAAACCTATGGAATTTGTGCTTTTGAAAGTGATTTGAGGTTCAAATACTTTATCTGTTGCCCTTTTTTTTTTTTTCCTTTCACATGCCTGCAGTTTGGAGAAGAGAGTAAAGGAAATTGTACATAAAGCTTTTTGGGATTGTTTAACTGCACAGCTGAGTGAAGACCCCCCAACATATGACCATGCCATCAAACTGGTAGGAGAGATCAAAGAGGTGAGGTGCAGAGCAGTTCTTTATTAGAGCAAATGATGGTGCTTTTCCAGGTGTTCAGTGGATTCATTTACCCTCTCTGGGTTACTGTGCCCAACAACTTTAAAGGAATTGGAGAATTAAGAAGTTCAGTTACTTGTGGAAATGTGGATTTAGGAATATTTTTGGTTTAGCGCCTTTTGGACGTTGCTGTTTTCTGGTAGCATAGTGCCTAAGGCACTTGACTGCTAACCAGAAGGCTGGCAGTTCAAACTCACCAGCCACTGCTTGGAAGGAAGATGGGGCAATCTACTTCTGTAGGATACTACCTGGGAAACCCAAGGAGGGGTCGCTATGAGTTGGATTCGACTCGACAGCATGTAACAACAACAACATTTTCATTTCTTTTTCTCATTTTAAGCTAGCCATGATAACCTAAAGGCATTACCCTTATAAATGGGTAAATGAATAAAAATTATGTTTTTCAGAACAGAATTATTTAAATAAAATAAAAGGAATCTTACAAAATCTAGGTGATTTATAAATTATTTAATAGCATGTGTCAGGTATGGACACATTCAATTCATAATGGATAAAAAGTAGTATAGTCTGAGAGACAAATGAAACATTTGATGGAAGAATGGACTCTTTTCAGTGGTTTTAGCACTACTATTAAAGAAGATGTGCCTTTATGGAAATGTCATCTGTGGTTGGCTTACATTCATAAATGTGTTTTGCATTTCTCGCCTTGAACAATTTATTCTTCCAGTTGATTGCTACCTAGAGCTTAAATGGAAGGAAACTTAAATGGTTTGTAAACATCTGTTTTTCTGTAGACTTATGGAGGGAATATGGGATTAAAATAAGTGCGAAATTGCAGTAACAATTATTAACCCCTTATCTGGATAGTTGTAAAGTCCTTTATATGTAATACAAAATGATGTCTAAGAAACTTTGATTAAATTTAGTTATGCTCTCTTATAGACGCTCTTATCTTTCTTGCTGCCTGGTCACACTAGACTGAGAAACCAGGTAACAGAAGTCTTAGATCTGGACCTGATCAAGCAGGAAGCAGAGAATGGGGCCCTAGACATTTCTAAGCTGGCAGAATTCATTATTGGCATGATGGGGACACTGTGTGCACCTGCTCGAGATGAGGAAGTTACGAAACTGAAGAACATTAAGGAAATAGTGCCTCTTTTCAGGTATGGAATTGTGTTTATTGAGTCAATTTTGACTTTCTACCAACCCTTTAGAACAGAGTAGAAGCGTCCCATAGAGTTTCCAAGGCTCCATCTTTCTCCCGCAGAGCAGCTAGTGGGTTCGAACCTCTTGGCTGTTGGTTAGCAGCTGTGTGCTTTAACCACTGTGCTGCTAGGGCTCCTTTAATCATATCCAGTATAACTGAAATGCAGAGCCTGTTTTCAAATTTGAACTTCCTCCTGTCTAGGTACTCTTAACATTGAGAAAAACAAATTAGAAAAAGCCAGACATTTTGTAAAATACAGAAAAGTAGGAAAAAAAACTGACATATAATTTTAATACCTAAAAGCAATCACTGTTAGCATTTTGCTCTATATTTTTCATCTCCCAACTTTTTACTTTGAAAAATTCCAAATCTACAGAAAACTTTCTAAATAGTACAACTAATACATATATCCTTCACTTAGATTTACTACTGGTTTTTAACATTTTGTCATATTTGCTTTTTCTTTTTACGTATATCTGAGTATGTGTGCATGTGTATATGTGCACTGTGTGCTTTTATGTGTGCATGTGTGCATGTGTATGTATGAGTATGTGTACATTGTGTCCTTCCAAAAGATTTGTTGATAATCTAACATCTCTGGTACCTGGAAATGTGCACTTTTTGGAAATAGGGTCTTTGAGGATGTTATCAGTTAAGTTAACATGAGGTCATACTTGAGTAGGATGATTCCTAATCCAATATGAGTGGTATCTTTGCAAAAGAGGAGGACACACAGAGATAGAAAGACACAGAAGGAAGGAGGCCATGTGAATTACGCTGCAGCTGTAAGCCAAGGAATGCCTGGCTTGATGGCTGCCTTAGAGCAATCAGTCATGGGAAACCAGAAGGATAGTGTTCACAGTGGGAGATAGGTGGTGGGGGGGGGTAGACAGGAATGCATAGGAAAGAAGGACACAGGAAAGAAATAACTACAAGGAAGGAAGAGAACCGTTACATTGTGGGGAATTTTAGTCAGTGTCATGAAACAAAATATGTATCAACTGCTGTGTGGAAAATGAATTTGGTTTCTAAATTTTCACCCAAATAACAATAAAAATTAGAAAAAAATAAACCTGTAGAAATGCAAATGAGAAGGAAGATGTAGGAGGGAGGATATGTAGACCACACACACACACACACACACACACACACGATATGACCTGACCCAAACAGCCTGCTTGCTTGACATTTCAAATTACAAAAAGGTAGCCTGGTGAAGAGGATTGTCTACGGGTTTGGGACTCAGAAGACCTGGTTTAAAATCCCAGCTGGTCCTCTTATACCACAGGACTGTGTCCAGGAGAGTGAGGTCCTCCTGCCTTCATGAATTACACACTTGAGCCCGATGTGACAGCAATAACTGACTATTTTCACCCAAATAACAATAAATCCTGATTAGTAGTTGAGTGCTTAACTGTTTGTGCCATATAAGTACTCATTAGGCAACATATTGCATTGGGAAAATCTGCTGCAAAGACCTCTTTAAAGTGCTGAAGAGCAGAGATGTCTCTTTGAAGACTAAGGTACGCCTAACCCAACCCATGGTATTTTCAGTCAACTCATATGCATGTGAAAGCTGGACAGTGAATAAGGAAGACTGAAGAATTGATGCTTTTGAGTTGTAGTGTTGTTGAAGAATACTGAAGGTACCATGGACTTCCAGAAGAACTAACAGATCTGTCCTGGAAGAAGTGCAGCCAGAATGCTCCTTGGAAGCAGGAATAGCCAGACTTCGTCTCAGCTACTTTGGTCATATTGTCAGATGGGACCATTCCCTGGAGAATATCATGTTTGGTAAAGTGGAGGGTCAGAAAAAGGGGAAGACCCTCAACAAGATGTGTTGGCACAGTGGCTGCAGTGGTGGGCTCAGTTACAGTAAGGACTGTGAGACTGGTGCAGGACCGGACAGTGTTTCATTCTGTTGTACGTAGGGTTGCTATGAGTTGGAGCCAAATCAGCAACACCTAACAATAACAACAACAGTATCCTGATGTCTTCTCAAGCCCCTGTGATGGGGAGCTTATCCAGAGAGGTAGCAACTTTCTTATGGCCATCTTTTACTACCTCTTGTTTGTATTCAGTGGTCTGGGAAACAGTCAGATCATCTTGGTCCTTATCACCTTCAAGAGACTGAGGAGCATCACAGATAAGTACCTCTTGAACCTGGCCCTGTCTGACCTGCATTTTGTCTTCTCCTTCCCCCTTCTGATCCACTGTCACCTGGACCAGTGGGTATTTGGGACTGTAATGTACTGGGTGATCTCTGGACATTATTACATCGGCTTCTTCAGCAGCGTTTCTTCATCACCTTCCTGAGTGTGGACAGATAACCTGGCTATTGGCCATGCTGTATATGCTATGAAGGTGAGGACAGCCGGTGTGGGAACACTTCTGAGCTTGGTAATATGGCTGACTGTTGTCATCGCCACCAGCCCATTGTTCGTGTTTTACCAAGTAGCCTCTGAAAGTAGCGTTCTGCGGTGTTATTTGTCTTAAAATCAGTGGACATTAACATGGAAGATCTTCACTGAATTTGAAATTAATATCTTAGGTCTGTTGATCCCATTCAGTATCTTTAGTTTCTGCTACATCAGCATCGTGCAACAACAGAGGAGATTCCAAAACCATAACAAGACCAAGGCCATCAGGTTGGTTGTCATTGTATCCCATTCAATGTGGTCATCTTCCTCAATTCTCTGCACAACATGCACATCTTGGATGAATGTGTCATGAACCAGCTGCTGATTTATGGCACCATGTCACAGAAACCATTTCCTTTTCTTAGTGCTGTGTGAACCCTATTATCTATGCTTTCATGAGTGAGAAGTTTAAGAAATACTTGTCAGAAGTTATTTCAGAAAAGCTGCAGCCACATCTTTCTCTGTATAGGGAAACAAGTCTCCATAGAGGGCTGGGAAAGGTCATCAGACTTTTGTCAGCAGTCTTTCCACTCCTCCAGCGTAGACTGCGGTTTGTGAGGAGGGTGCGTCGAAGCAAGATCCTGAGTTCATCACTACGCTTCTTTTAAGAGACAAATATTACTTATCTTGGATTCTGAGGCTACATGAAGGAACACTCTCAGAACTTTGGTTTAAGACGAAAGACATTTTTTGGCAACCATGTGGTATTTAATGAATCCTACTATTGCAGATTTAAAAAAAGAAAAAAAAAAAAAGGCATTCTCCTGCATAATCAAAATACAACCAAGACACTCAAGAAATACTCACATGTAGTCCTACTGACTCACAGAGTCCATGGTAATGTCTTTTAGTCTTTCGAGTACTTATTTTTAAATATATATAATTATCTTGTTGTTGTTATATGCCATCAAGTCACACCCGACTCATACCGACCCCTCCTTGGGTTTCTGAGGCGGTATCACTATGGAAGTAGATTGCCCCATCTTCCTTCCGAGGAGTGGCTGGTGGGTTTGAACCGCCAGCCTTCTGGGTAGCAGTCAAGTGCCTTAGGCATTACACTACCAGAGCTATTCCGAGGCTGTATCACTATGGAAGTAGATTGCCCAGCCTTCTTTCTGAGGAGTGGCTGGTGGGTTTGAACTGCCAGCCTTCTGGTTAGGCACTATGCTACCAGAGCTCCTATATATAGTTATGGTCAAATTTATATAAAATTTTTGTGCTAATACAGGCAAAAGATTAACATGATGCTGCCTGAGAATTTGACTTTGGGTAAGAGCTTAGCTTTGCTTTCCTATGAACACATAAAGACTTTTTTTAAATAAAAAATGCTACCAGGCAACATTATTTAAAAAAAAAAAAAAAAACTTGGCTATTGAGTCTATTCCGACTCATAGCAACCCTATAGGACTATAGAACTGCTCATAGGGTTTCCAAGGCTATAAATCTTTACAGAAATAGACTGCTACATCCTTCTCCCGTGAGGTGGCTGGTGAGGTCAAACTGCCAGCCTTTCAGTTAGCAGCTGAGCACTTTACCACTCTGCCACCAGAGCACCATTAGGCAACATTGCTTATGGAGAAAATGACCCCTGATTAGTAAATTACATCTGGACTCAAAGAAAAAATAATAAGCTACAAGTACTTGATGGGGATACCATACTTTGGACTTCTCTGAGTGGGGTGATTCATAACTAGGGACCTTGGAAGCTTTGCTGTGGACTTGTTAAAACAAAAAAATATTGTCTCCTGTGGGAACCTCCTAATGTGGATCTGGTAGCACAGTGGTTAAGTGCTCAGCTGCTGACCAAAAGGTCAGTGGTTTGAACCCACCAGGCATTCTTCAGGAGTAAGATGTGGCAGTCTGCATTTGTAAAGATTATAGCCTAGGAAACCCTAGGGGGCAATTCTATTTTGTTCTGTAGGATTACTGTGAATCAGAATTGACTTGATGGCAGTGGGTATGGGTGAACAAAATGTACATAACATTTCACTTTCCTGTTTCCTCATATTCCTTTGTGTGTTTGTGTATTAAGTTGTATACAGTTGTATCACCTGTGTGTATGTATATGTATCTACCACAACAATCAAGGTACTAGACAGTTCCAGTACCGTAGGACTCTCACATTGCTCTTTTATAACCAATTTATATTATTTTTTAAAACTCCTCATAAGCATTTTTAATGGCTGTGAAATACTCATTTGCATAAATTTACTTATTTCTCCTTAAGATGGACAATTAGATTATTTATAATTATTTACTCTTACAATGAACATGTTTGTGCACAAAACGTTATTTCTTTAAGATAGGTTCTTTTTTTTTTTTTTTAATTTTATTTTGACTTGGGTGAAGATTTACAGAGTAAATTCACTTTTCATACAGCAGTTCACATATACTTTGTTTCATGTCATTGACCAAAATTTAC